TCTAGCACTAATGATGTTCCCTAGTTGGGTCATGAAACGTCTGCAAGGAAAACACCCAGTTCAGAGAGCACCAAGGATTCCACAGTGCTCCTCCCTGCTTCTAGCATGGATGATGTTCCTTAGTTGGGTCATGAGATGTCTGCAAGAAAAATGACCAAGTTCACAGAGCACCAAAGGACCCCACAGGCTTCCTCCTCCTCCTCCAAGCACTGATGATGTTCCCTAGTTGAGTTATGAAACGTCTGCAAGAAAACCACCCGGCTCAGAGAGCACCAGGGACCCCACAACTTAGAAATAAATGCAAATGCCCTTCTAGAAACAACTAGAGCTGTACAATGAGGAATCAGGGCCGAGAGAGGGAAAGAGTATCGACCTGCAGGGACTGTCAAAGTAACAGGAAGCTCAACTGTAAGTTAAATGTAAACTTAAGCTTAAGTTTAAACTTGCAACAGCCGGTGCCCGTTGCCTCTTACAAGCCACTGGATCTGAAAGTGTAAAAAAAAAACCTGAACCAAATTTAGCCTTTTGGAAATGTAAATATCTTCTTCCTTCCCAGTCTTTTTATAATCTTTCAATCTCTTTGTCTTTAATTTGGGCTCGTTCTACCCTCGGGCTAGGTCGCTGCCTCTAAATCTCCTCAAAGGGATCTTCGTGGCTTCTGATAATCCTGGATTTGGGGTTTGCTGTGATGTCCTGGTTTCTGACAGGTGATTTGTGAGCCCCCCCCCAGCCCTCCCCCCACCCCCCCCAAATGGCTTTGCATTTCCTTTTTGTGAGTGAAGCGGCTTCGGCTTGGCCCCGCTGCCAACCACCGTGCCCTACATTTCCATCTATTTTTAGCGGACGGGGAAAACAGGTTAACAACGCGGGGGGGGGGGGGGGGGGGGGGGGGCCATTTTCCCCTTTTCAGTCCCGGTCCCCCCGGGCCGGGGGGGGGAGGCTGCCCCAGTTTCTGGTCGGTCCTGGGTTTTTTTGAAGGCCCGAGCCCAATTCCTTTCCTTTATTTATGACCTCGGTTTCTAAGGTCACTCCATCAGAATAGAGCTGGAAGGGACCTGGGAGGTCTTCTAGTCCAACCCCGTGCTCAGGCAGGAAATTCTCTCCCGTTCGAGACAAAATGGCTGCCTAATCTCTTCTTGGAAATCTCCAGGAACGGAGCATCCGTAACTTCTGGTGGCAAGGAGTTCCGTGGATGAATTCTTCTCACAGTCGGGAAGTTTCTGCTTAGTTTTAGGTTGCTTCTCTCCTGGGTTAGTTTTCCATCCATTATTTCTCGTCTGGCCTTCAGGTTGACCCCCTCTCCTCTTTGTGGCAGCCTCGACTGCTATCATGTCACCCCGAGTCCTTCTTTTCATCGTAGACCTGCCCAGTTCCTGCAACTGTTCTTCATCTGTTTTAGTCTCCAGTCCCCTAATCCTCTTTCTTGCCCTTCTCTGCTCTCTTTCCAGAGTCTCCCCATCTTTTTTTTTGTATCTAGAACTTGACCAGAAGGTCAAGACTTCCAATGGCCCTTCTAACCCTAGGAGTCTGTGTTCTGTGCCTTCTGGTGGCAAGCTGTTCCACTGGTTAATTCTTCTCACTGTCGGGAAGTCTCTCCTTAATGCCTTACGCCAATGGCCGTGTGAGTGGAGGTGGCCAAAGCAATAGGGCAGGGAAGATGGGTAGATATGCACATAAATTGGAGGAGAAAAAAATAGAACAGAACAGAATATCCAAGTTGGAAGGGACCCTGGAAGTCATCTAGTCCAACCCCCTGCTCAAGCAGGAGACCCTGTACCATTCTAGCTAAGTGGCTATCCAGTCTCTTCTTAAAAGCCTCCAGTGATGGAGAACCCAACAACTTCTAGTGGCAAGCAGTTCCACTGGTTAATTGTCCTCCCTGTTAGGCATTTTCTTCTTAGTTCCTAGATTGCTTCTCTCCTTGATTAGTTTCCATCCGTTGCTTCTCCTCCTGCCTTCAGGGGGCTTTGGAGAATAGGTGGACCCCCAAATCTTCTTTGGGGCAGCCCCTCCAACATTGGAAGACCGCTATACTTTACAGAATAACAGAAGAGCAGAGTTGGAAGGGCCCTTAGAGGCCTTCTAGTCCAACCCCATGCTCAAGTAGGAGATTCTATGCCATTCCAGACAAATGGCTGTCCAGTCAACCTCTGGAGGCAAGTCATTCCATTGGTTAACTGTCCTGGCTGTCAGGAAGTAAAAGCGTTTAACTAATTTAACTGCAGTGATTAACCCTTAACAACGGTGGCAAGGAAGTATCGCAAAACGGGACAAAGCTCTGCTTAACAACCGCCTCGCTCGCCAACGCCCCTTTTGGGCTCCCTCAAGGAGGACCACCTGTAGAGGAACATTGAGAGAAGGGACCTACCCATCCAGAATGGATTCCCGGCAGCAGTACAAGTTGTCGAACTTCTGTTTGGTGACGGAATCATTGACGTTCATTGCGGGAACGCACAACTTGCCGGCTTTCGAGAGTTGGTACAACCTGGCAAGCAGTTGGAAAAAAACAACACACACAGACACACACACATTTTATCATATGTGGTGGTCCTGCTTGGAGACTCAAAAATATTGGTTAAAAATTCAAAAATGGTTACAGGAGATTACCAATGAGCAAATAAGAATTGGAACCGGAATTATTTTTATTGGGGATATTCAGAAAGAAATACGGGAGAAATGTAAAATATTTCATACGGCACGTTTTAACTGCAGCCACGATTGCCTGTGCCCAGTGTTGGAAACACACACGAATACCACCAGAGGAACTGATCACTCAAAAAAATAATGAGCTGCACTAAGATGGACAAGAGAAAGAGGAATCTGACTATTACAAGATGTGGGGAAAATGGTATGATTGGACTGAGCAGAGATAGATTGTTGGATTAGATAAATGGGTTGTAAATAAATAGGGATAAGCACTAGAGAAGTTAACGATTTATATCCGCACAAATACTATATATTTGTAAATAATGCACAAAATATTAGCATAAGATGAATGTCACAAACTGTGGATGTTATAAGATTTATATTTCTGTTGTTTGTCTTTTTAAAATAATAAAAGATTAATAAAGTTTCTTAAAAAGAAAAAAGAAAGAAAAAAAGCCACACACACACACACACACACAATCAGGATTTTCCCACAATTCTCTTTGCTGCTCTTGGGGTTTCTAGGACGGCTTTCAATGGGCCCAGGTGATTCTTCCATTGAGGCTACGAAGGGTCCAACTGTACCTTGATTCTCAAAGCAGTGAGTGGGCTCGATAACGGAGAATGGAATGGATTTAATCCTTTTGTTATTACCCATTAAGTCAGGAGTCTCCAAATGTGGCAACTTTAAGGCTTGTGGACTTCCAAGTCCCAGAATTGGCCAGCCAGCATGCCTAGCTGAGGAATTCTGGGAGCTGAAGTCCACAAATCTTAAAGTTGCCACGTTTGGGGACCCCTGGCTTAAACTCTTGAAAATGTAGGGAAGAACAAATTAAGCACAAATGACTACTGAAATCTATTCTCTGTGGGGGTGAATGGATTTAATTATTATTATTTTTTAACCACAGAGGAGAGAATAGTCAAAGTAGTCAAAGTAGCCCTTGACTTCCAACAGTTTGTTTAGCAACCGCTTGAAGTTCCCGCAGCACTGAAAAAAAGGGACTCAGGACCACTGTTCACACTTACGACCGTTGCAACCTCCCCAGGGTCACGGGATTCACATTTGGGTGCTTGACAACTGACTCACATTTATGACGGTACATGATTTAGGTGCCAGCTTTGGAAGCCGTATATAGCCTGAGAAAATGGGAGGGGCGATTTCAGTTGAGTAGTTCTAAGTAGACAAAATCAAATTCTTTCCTTAGTTCGAAGTTATTAAGTGTGGCCCAGCAGAGAAGAAGGATCTTACAC